ATTTTCTGTTCAGTCACATAATAAGACCTTTTATACAGTAATTGGTCATCTTTCGGTGGTGGCGTCGCAAACTACTAGACTCTGTCTCTCTTTTATTAAAACATATAGTATGCGTCCTTATTTACTTGCTCTTACAGAAAAAAAGTTTACTAAATAACATAGTAATTTTCAATAATTCAAATTGTATTCTGTAGACGGCAGCATCGTAAAAATCAACATACTGAAAGTCTAGTCCTGGATTACGATGTTACCAATGTAATTTTTCATAGGATTTTTTTTCCGTGTATATCTTAAAAAACATCAATAATTAAGAGCTGACATTGCTATCTTGTGTACGATTGACATTTTTAAAGATATAAGCTCATCCTGATGTTATACTCATCAAAATCTTTCATTTGAGTACCCACATCAATTTTTCATATATTTTATATATTATATATATTTTACAAATACCATATATATAAAATATATAAAAAATACCATGTGGGTACTCAAATGAAAGGTCTCGATGAGTGTAACATCGAAATGAGTTTATATCTTAAAAAATGTCAATAATTAAGAAATGACATTGTATCTTGTCAACTTATAATATTTTTCAAAATATAAGCTCATCCCGACATTACACTCATTAAGACTTTTTATTTGAGTACCCACATCAATTTTTTTATATATTTCATATATTTATATATATCATATATATGTATATATGAAAAATATATCAAAAATGCAAGTGGATACTCATATGAAAGCTCTTGATGAGTGTAACATCAGGATGAGCTTATATCTTCAAAAAAGTCAATAGTTTAGAAAATACAGTGCAATTTAACAAAATTCATTATTCAATCAACCAAAATTTTTGTTTGTTTATACTTCACGTTACGGCAGTCAAATTTTTTAGCTCATAGAATACAATAAAATTCTTTCAACAATTAATAATAATTATTTAACAATAAAAAATGTTACATTTAAAAATAAAAAATATCTTTAAAATAATCAAATCTCTACACTTAATATAAAAATAAACCCTTCTACCATTACTAAGTGAATTCAACGATAGCTCATTGCTTCTGCAAGTAAAATAGCATCGAACTCACTTGAAAGCTCTCCAATAAAATCTATACCCACTTTATTTCTTTTCTTACAACAAAAGTAATGGTGTAATTAGTAATCAGGTTATTTTACTTTGTGCAAAATTCTTTGCATCAAATTTCCTCTTTATTATATTTACTGAATTTATACTTGCTAAATTTATGTTTATAAATAAATACACGGAATAAAATAGATAAAAATCTTAATTTCAGTCAAAGGAAAGGGGAGAAGATAATTACTGTATAAAAAATAAAAAAATTAAGTAAATAGATAATAATTATCATTAAGAAGAGGGTGTTCCAGTTAAACACATAAATATAAGACACCCATGACCCGACGTCACGATATCTGCACCACATTCGTGGGAAATAACATATTTATAACTTTAGTTAATTTATTAAATAATATCCAGCAAGTTAGATCTTAAGATTAGTCGGTAAGTTTTTAGTTTATTTCTTTAAGCCACTAATTACGCTTACTCTTTATAAAGAGTGCGAGGATTTTTCTTTTTATATAAATTTAATTACCTAACAAAAATATTTATTGTTTTTAAATCATTTCTTTAATAACAGCAATGACGAAGCTCACTTTTTATTGATATTTTTTTGATAATTAATTTGGCAATTAACGGACCCGTTAATGGATTTTTTAGAATAAAATAATTTGCGATAAAAAAATTTAATAATAGAACTTTTATATAACTCAGTAAGATAAATTTATTTCAATAGGAAAAAAAACGAAAAAAAAATTAATCGAAGCTATAAATTTAAAACTTACATTTATAATTTTATTTTTTTCTAATTTTGTAATTTTTTGTGTGAAAAAAATTATTTTTGCAATCATTTTTAACGCTACATTGATCAGAATTAACAAAGAAACAATTTAAGCGCTTTGAGATAGAAGAAATGGTGGCTAGCGCCACTAAGCGGAAGCGTCAGTGAACTAAAAGTTTGTCCGCTCGAATTTTTGGCAATTACACCTTGCTAGTGCAACAAAATTGAACTTTTAAGGAGATCAATGCTAAGTAAAATTTTTAAAACTTTCTGAAAATTTGTAAATTCAATCTACGTAAATAATTAATAAAAAAATTATAACAGTAGGTTTTCAGGGTTTAATCAAATAATTAGGTTTGAAAATTTTAATTTTTACATGGATGGAGTATATACCGGTCAAGTATATACCGGTAATTCAGAGTGTTATATTTTTTATTAGTCAATTAAATGTTGATAATTATTTAATGAGTGAATTTATCGGTAATTTTCTCAAAAATGTTATTAATCAATTTAAAAATTAATTTTAAGATAAAAGTATTGCTACGTATTATTTTCTCATAGAAATTCTTTACACCAGAAGGGTACTTGGATCTTTTAAATAATTTAAAAATAAATTGGATCAAAAAGTTAGTTTAAAAAAATT